ACAAAATACTGAACTCAAATCCCTTCTTGAGTTGTAGTGGTACATTTTTTTATAATTTTATAAACTGATACTTTTTCTTTATTATCCCTACCTCGCCATTTTTACATAAGAAGGGGGGAGGGTTGTTGTTCTATTAGTACAACCAAACCTATTCTGGGCATTTTAACCTGCATAGGCCGGATTTGAACCGGCTCCACTAGAATCGAGAATGTTAATGCGGACAACACTCTAAAACGCTTGGCCATCACGTTCCCTAAAAACTAATTATTGATTGACATCTCTATTTATGGCGTTTTATCCTGTCGCCCTCCCCTCTCCCTATCTTCCTCCCCTCTCCAATATATCGTAAGTGCTGGCGCGTTGACTTGGAAAATTCACTATCAATTTAATTAGGAGTGTTTTAAAAAGGAATAAGTAAACTGCTACTTTGTTTTTTAATTCAACTAGTCCTTTATCAATCTAATCAATAGATCTTTGTTTCTTTCATCCATCCGCCGTTCCTCTTCTGCAACTTCCTTGCAAGCTGATACCAGTCTCTTTTTTGTCTATTTCACGAGGTCATCAGGTTTTATATGTCCCGTCTATTTTTAATACTATATTTTTATCATCATCTTGAAAGCAGTAGAATATATTTTGAAATATAACGAGACTTTAGTGAGTGGTGATTAATAAAATCTACCGATGGAAATTTAATCATAAACCTGAACTATCGCATTGTTCTTTCATAGTAATTTTTCCTTTCTTTGGAAGAAGAACGTTCATTTGTGACTATATTTCTTTCGCTATCATCTGGGATAGATTTAGATAAGTAGCGTTCATTTTTGCTTCTTATAGCTCCGTCATCAAGTCTCATTTAACGTGTGTAGAATGTCGTTCTCCCATTGACTCCTTAAATACCTGTGCTAAATCTATCCATCTGTAAATCCCTTTAAATAGAAAAGCTTTCTCCAGCTGTGAGTCTTTCAGTAGACTAATTTATAGTTCAGCATTTGTAATTTTAGTGATATTTCTAGTATTTTTTTATAGACTAGATTTTATTCCAGAATAGTTTCTTTTCCTAGCAGACATTGGTCTTGGAAAAAAAAAAAATGAATGACTCAATCTGTTTTTTATTTTATTTTGTAGAACAAGTTTTTTTTTTATTGGAGGAATTCTAATATTCAGGAATTCATGTCCGGTATCCACAGGAGCTACGTAATCGCCGTTTACATAAAAACTGGAAGGTTCAAAACAGGCCGATTCTTTCCGGTTATAGGATTCCTTTGCATGTTAAATCTACTTTATTGGTGAATTTATGTTTTTCAATTTTCCTCGAATTATTTTAATAAACAAAAATGTTAAGTCGTGTTTATTTTTTTCTTCTGGTTACCACAATTTGGATTTGACTCATTAGATATTGCTTCATATTCATTAAATATGTTGCCAATGAACTTTAGTTAAACGAGAAATGATTGATCATATTGTGAAAGTGACGTTTAAACTTTTAAGTTAAACCTTAACTCAATCGAATATAAACTTTCAATTCCAGCTAAAATGTGAATTGTGATGTAGCTGCCATGTTTGAGAGCATTGGAGAGGTCATTGTACTTCCGCTGTCTACAAAAAGATTACCAAATAGGAAATATTTTCTTTTTTTAATAGAAAAATATTCTATTTGTTTTTTAACTTATGTAATCAATTGTATCATTAGGCTAGTTATATAATAGAAATGAAGGTCTAAAAAGATTTTGTAAGCTCTAGTTTTGTCTATAGCGGACTGTGTATACAATATATCTTGCTATAATATATATACAAATATACACGATGGATATATAATACACCAGCACTCAGTAATCTTGTAGCGTTGTGTTTATTACTTTTAACTCTGCTAGTCACTATCGGATCCACGATTTAATTTTTTTTGGAGGGGGGGTACTTCAGTCCGAATTTTTTTAATTGTATATATAACGATAATTGCATACAAGTAAAATAAAGAAACTAACTACCTATACCAAATGGTGTTTAAATGATTCTCGAAGCCCTATTAAATTTAATTACACAAACAATAATACTTTCAGAGAGATTTTTTTTCATAAGACATCGTTATATTTTAAAATTGGTGGGGGGGGGGGGGGGTTGGCTTCATATCCCACGCCAGATCCGCCTGTGCTACTAATTTAAAGCAGAATAAGTTGGCTCGTGTAAATAATGGGAGTGTGAAAAAATGACAACATAACGTGAAAATGAGTAAATGCAATGTATTATGATCGAGATTAATTAATTTTAATTCAAATAATGGACCAAAACATGGGTACACCAAAACCGTTAAGAAGGTCCTGTTTCTAGAAATACACCTCCTATAACTTTTTTTTTTTACGTTTCGTAAAGAGTGTTAAATTATCATGAAGTGTTAAAAACCATAAGCTGTTTAGCTTTTCAGCTATGCTACGGGTAGAATTTTCTTTTCTTCATAACTTTTTTTGCCTGATTTTTCGAGAGAAGGGGCATATTTTTTGTATTTGAAAGATAAGATTACCTTCAAAATAATGGCTTACTCATTTGATTTGATGAAGAATTTCACGGAATTCACGGAGTACCGACCAAAAAATACCTTAGAGAAATAAAATTCAACGATAGGAAAGTTTGTTTTTGATTTTAAAATTACGAATAAAATTAAATTCCACTTCCTAGACAATTTCTAGTGAATTGTGCATTTAAATAACCGACTTTAACTCAAGAAATTAATGCCATACCTCAATGTTATTACAGTTGTTAATCATTTATATTTTCTCACAACAGTTTAAAAACACTAAATAATATGTTATTGAAAAATCAGCAGTTAAAATATAATGTGATACGATTCGAAAACGTGATAATATTCTGTATGATGGCATCTATTTAAATGACCATTGTATAAATTTTGAGCTACAAAAAACTACAAATTATGATACTTAATGTTAAATGTTTGGTATAAAAATAATCTAATTTGATAACTAACTTTTTTTCCTCTTGCATAATAACCCTATGCAGAAGGAGTTTATTTGCAAAAGTCTACATACACCATTTGAATTCGCATATTCTATGTATGGATGTTATACTTCATTTTATCTATGCTATGTTTCTTTCTTTCTTTTTTTAATTATAAAAATTGGAGAAAATAAAAAAATAAAAAGCAAAACAAAAAAGTAGAACTAAAGCTACAATAATTGTTTACATGAAAATAATATTTTTTTTTTTTATAGCATCTATACACGAAATAGAATTAAATGTTTTCAAGTATTGAGAACAATTAAAGTATACAACTCAAATTTGCGTGAGAATGAAATTATGAAATAAACAATAAAAAAACAAGCTACCGCTAAATAACTTAAAAATAAATAATAAGTATATATATTTCCATGTTGTTGACTACGTTATTGACCTTAATAAATTTGATTTACGATTCCACCTAATGGTTTACGTTGGATTTCTAATAAGCGATTCTAAAACTTTCCACGATCTCGGATTGATTTCGTCTTAACCGTTGCACCTGTTGGTGACACTTTCTCCTGCATCATCATTAAGATTTGCCTTTCGAGGAGTGGGTGGGCTTTGATAAAAGAGGCCGTGCATTAATATTTATTTTTCATTATATCCAGTCTTTTACTATTTAGTTTCCTAATTTCAACAACTTAATTAATTAAAATATAATTAGTAAATTCGAAAAAAAAGGTATAATGGATTTGAATACAATTTATTTAAAAACTATTATTAATTAATAATTGGAGATATTCATCTTTACTATATAATTAATTTTTGACCTTTCAGATTGGACTGAAAGAATTATAGCTATTGTTTTTTTTAAATAAACATTATTTGGTAACTACTCACATATATGTATGTATAAATACAATTATTTTGTAATCGTCCAAAAATTGAATTAATGAATAGTCATTATAAAAAAAATAAACAGTATACGATAAGTTAATTTGAAAAAAAAAAAATCTTTAAAAAGTGAAGTATTGAATATATTTTGTTTTTTGTAATGAGAAATTTCCTTGAAAATATTTAGAAGCGAAAATGAATGGATAAAGAAATGGTTGAATTATTTGGTTGAAAAGTTTTTATATTTCCAGAAATTCTTGATATGACAATTTATTTTAAATTTTGAATGATTAAAGCTTTTCATGGATATTTATACCGTTGACTATTCGCATAGGTACTGATAAAAAGCCATGATAAATAGGCCTGATTGTCATATGAATAAAATGATATTAATTAAATGGAAGATGAATGAAAAATAATTTTATTCTGAGACTAAAGTCACCTTAGAATAACGGCAGAGTTAAAAAATATTTATACATCAGTCTGCCATGTAATTATAATACAAATAACACAAAGAATCCTAAGAAAAATACAAATATATTCAAGAAATACTGTATATAATAAAATACTGAGAAAAATAAAAGTAAAATGGCTCTTATCAATTAACCGTTGGCAAACAATTATAATTACATTACATGAAAATTCTTACAACCTTGCGTAAGTTTGAATGTATAGGAGGAATAAGAATTGTTTGAAAGAATTTGTGGACATGGCCTGACATATGGAGATAGGTAAGGAGTCCCAAAACGAGGTAACATGAATGATGAAGGATGAAGAAAGTGGTTTTATGGGAGGGGATTTTATAGGTTGAGATCTGGTATTAAGGGAGTGAATAAAGGAAGGTTGAGTAAGGCTTTATAGGATGTAGGGAGGATTTTTGGTTCTGAGGACTTGGAAAAGGAAAATACCAAGAAGTAACTGCCGTCGGAAGTTAGGATAGAGCCACTTCAACTCGGTGTGTATTTATAAGTGGTGGACAAAACAGAGACACTCGGTGTATTTTTATAAGATGCGGGATGGACTTGAAAATTACTCTACATGGTAATAGTAATGTCTGGGAAAGTAAAAGTAGACTAAATAGAATTGTTGGTGAACTATTCTTTTAAAATTCAAAATTATCCATTATTTATTTGATACTAATTTAATTTATTTTTCAGGACGATGAGCCGCCTGAGATCACCTACTGTGTGGTGGACCAAACAGGGACACTTTCCCTGCATCCACTCACACCGACCCAGCCTATGCCCCCTGAGGAGGAGCTGGAAGCCAAATTTGCTGAACTTGTCGAAGAATTGGACCTCACCGCCCCCAACAGGGCTGCTATGATGGGACTCTCCAGGGAGAAGAAGTGGCAGATCTATTGTGGCCAAAAGAAGGTAATATATTGTTTATTTTTTTAAACATAACTACAATCACATCAAAAATTAATATTTAGTTAATTAAACTTTAGTATTAATTGTGATTAAATTTAATTAATATAATAGTAATATGCCCCCTTTTGATCTAAATATATAAAAACTAATGAACGAATAATATTTTATTTAGTTTTGTTAAGAACGTTTTAATTTATGTTTATAGGATTTGACAGGAACTAGTGATTTATCTCAGCTACCTGAGAACTACATTGAAAGTATGAAGAGTCTTCCAATGGTGAGCAACATTCTTTACTTCAATTTATTATCATATATTATTTTATAAAATTTAATAGCTTGAATATTGTCATGTAAAAACTCCACTTGTTCATGTCAAACTAAATCAATTTTTTTTTTAACATTAAAATTATCAAGGTGTTATAAACGTATGTAGAATATAGAATTAGAAATGTAATGTTGCAAATTTGGCTTTTTAAACCCGCTCCTGGGTGAAAAATTTTGTAAATAAAATTTCAAATTTTATTTTTTTAATTATAGAAACCATTAACTTAATTAAAGAAACACATTTTGATATTAATTAATCGTATATTCTTAAAGCTTATAATAAATAATATATTGGTCTTAATGGTTAAAATATTTTGTACTGGGAATCATAGATTATTTTAATAGGTTTATTAATTACATGTATCATAATTGTATTGATTCTCAACCTCACAGATGTATGTAAAAATTTTATGGTTTCATATAGAAAAATATTTACATTTTACCCTATCCATTAATTTCTTATTCATAAATTACAATATTTTGATTTTACATTGGGCTTTCTGGTTTAGACATTTTTGAATGGTTTTTGCTATTTTTTTCTTGGATGATAGGAAATATTCATACGAGAAGATAGGGTAACGGATAAAATGACAACAAAAATATAATTTATGTTACATAATGTTTTCTGATAGAAAAAAAAATTTATAATTTTGTTTTCAGGTCTGTTCGTCAGGTGAAGGTTTAGAAGAGGCCGAGATAAGTTCTAGGACAAGAACATTAGACGCTGTGAAAACTGCCCTTAGGACTGAGCCTCATTCCTTCGTCCAAGGATTTCTCGAAGGAGATGGCCTGTCGGCACTTCTGACCCTTCTACAAGCAATGGACTACCATACTGCTCAAAGCTCTATCCATACATCTTTAATAGGATGTATCAAAGCCCTTATGAATAACTCTGTAAGTATTTAAAAAAAAAAAATATATATATATATATAAAAGTGCAAACAATTACATTTAAATCTTCGTAATTACTATAATTAATATATTTTTGAGCTCACTATTGAAGTTTTCTCTGGATTTATGAAAGAGAAAGTATAATCCTAATTAGTTTTTAGTAACTTAATTATTTATTCCTTCAAGCTAATTTTTTCTATAGTTTTTGAAATGAAAATCTTTATTTAAGTATTTTCACATTCACAGATCAATAAAAATCTGTTAAATAGTTTATTTTCCAGAGGATTATCATGTTTTATTAGAAAATTTATTGTTACTGTCATTAATGGTTTTATAGAACCTTTTCATGTTTGAATTTCTATAATTTATTTATTGGAATATTTTTTTGAATGAAATATTTATGACAAAAACTTTAAGAAATCCAAAAATGCATCCTCCCTCTCAATAAAAATGTTGAGGCGGTGAGAATATCGTTTCGCCTCCCCTTCCCCAATAATTTGAGGTAAAAAAATTAAAATCATTAATAAATAAGCTAAATGAATGAATAAAATGTATTATAATGTAATAAAATGTATTATATGTAAAATAAACTAAAATCGATTAAGAAAAATTGACTAGCTGCCTGGTTAGGCTAGGGCCTATAGTACGCAAGTAATTATGTTATTTATACCTAAATGTTACTTTTATTAATATTCAAAGATAATAATATATATCAATATATCCTAGGATTTTATGATTCAATCATCCCTCAATTTCCACATAATACCCTTATCACATTTTCCATGGCTAACTAGTCCAACTGTGAAAAATTTTGTATTTTTATTTGAGTTTCTACACTCTCAGAAATCAAAGATATTTTTCACTTTTTCACATTATTCATTTTTAACTGAAAAAAGTTCTAGAAATGTACCAATGTTTTGAAGGCTCTCTTATCTCCTCCTGTGTTTAATATAAAAAAAAAATGTTATATATTCAATTTATGTATTTTGTTTTTAGATATTTTCAAGTTTATAGAATAAGTAAAGCAAAAAAAAAAAATTAATAAAATAAAATGCTTCAACTATAAAAACAAATTAATAATTTTAAATATTTAATATTATGTTTGTTCATTTCACAATAATTATGTAAAATTTGTACACATATTAAAAACTCACACCATTTTTTTTTTTCCATCCCCCCCTCCCCTCAATCATAATCGAAAGTCTGTGCTCATGCCCACACATATTTACAGTTATTTAGAAGAGTGAATAAAAATATTTATTGACTGGGACATTTAAACATATCTGTAAAAATTACCTCCTGATGACTGTTGAAGTCGCTCGATCTTATTTATTTTTTATCTCGATAATAAAATTATGTTCAGTTTGTATGCAATAGAATGCTTATTTTACCATTTTTTATTTTATTAATATCACCCATAATATAGTACAAACAGTCTCCTATCAAGCTGGCAAACAGCTGAATTTATACTACATCAAAAAATGTTTGTTGGCAAAAATTAGTTTTGTTTGTATTAAACTAATGAGTAAGTTAATAAAATATATAAAGATTTTTTATTAATATTTGAATTTCAGACTGGAAGGGCACATGTACTGGCTCATGCCAATGCAATAAATATAATAGCCCAGAGCCTTGGATCAGAAAACATCAAAACTAAGACAGCGGCTCTGGAAATTTTGGGGGCAGTATGTTTGGTTCCAGGGGGTCACAAAAAAGTTTTAGATGCAATGACACATTACCAGGCCTATTCTTGTGAGAGATCCCGCTTTCAGGTATTTGTTTTTATATTTTAAATATTAATAAAGTATTATCCATTATCTTATTTTAAATTCTATTTGTTTTCCTTATTTTTTTTTAGGGAATTGTTAATGATTTAGACAAATCGACAGGAGTTTACAAAGATGATGTTGCTCTAAAAACTGCACTTATGTCATTCGTTAATGCTGTTTTATCGTATGGTCCTGGGCAAGAATCTCTCGAATTCAGGCTTCACTTGAGATATGAATTTCTCATGCTTGGAATTCAGCATGTTATCAATAAACTTAGAAAACATGAAAACCAAACTCTTGATAGGTATAATTTTGTCAATTATTCTTTTTGTGTTTAATGCTGAACATACTCGTAATTGAACAATAATTAATAATAACTTAATCAATATTATAGGCATTTAGACTTTTTTGAAATGATAAGAAATGAAGATGAGAAAGAACTCGCAAGAAAGTTTGAAAAGGTATAAACTATTTTTAGACATTTTTTTTTCAATATTATCATTATTACCGATTGGCATTGTTTAAAGATTTGATGCATCTAAATGATTATTTCAGGAGCAAGTTGATATTTCAAGTGCATCGTCTATGTTTGATGTGTTACGAAGGAAGTTGAGTCATACAAATGCATATCCACATTTAATATCTCTTCTGCAACACCTACTTCTTCTACCCCGTAAGAATAAATTTTATTTCCTTTTTTTAAAGCTTGTAGTTTCTATTTTTTGCTAAAAAATATATATATGTATTCATCTTTTTTAGTTGACTATGGTGCTCTGCCTCAGCACTGGCTTTTATTTGACAGATTAGTACAACAGATTGTAACTCAAAGTGAATCAGGAAGTAATCACGATATTACTGCTATTGATATCAATGTTAAGGAAATAGTGCATTTGTAAGTTTATTATCTACTTTTTTGCTTTAATTATACTAAGAATTTTTAAATAAAAATTTATAATATTGATAGGTTGGCCAAAGAAGAAGAGCTAGTTGCAGCTAGAAATAAGGCCGATGAATTGGAAAAAGAAAATACTGAAATGGCCACAAAGCTAGCTAAAAAAGAACAAGAACTAGATTTGAGGACTCAGGAAAAGGTACATTTCATCATACCATTATTATAACTTATTTTTTAATTTTTTTAATTGTTGTCTTTAGGAATATCACCGTTGCCTTCTTTTGTCATCTTACAGTTTTGAAACAAAATATTGCTAAAATATATATTTTAATGTAGTTGTTTAAGATTTGATTCTTATTTCTAATAATAAACCGCAATTTGATTTTTTCTGACTTTATTATTAAAAAGCTATTTTTTTATTATACTTTTTGTTTTTTAATTTATAGGAGGATTTGGAAGCATCAGTTCAGCGAGTCAAAGAGAGGCTTGAGAAGGAAACAGCAGGACATCTTGAAGCTAGACAAAAGCTCGGTGCTATTGAAGACAAACTGCTTGAAGTAGAAGATAAGCTGCAAATCGAAATGCGTGAGAGAAGGAAACTGGAAGCGTTGCTTAGTGAAGGCTGCATTCCTGATGATGCGAAAGTGAGAATAATTTATTTTGTTATAATAAAAATATCCATTTAATCCATAAGTTAGTTCAGTTTCGTTTAACTCTAGTTGTCTTATCACTTTATTGATTTTTTCTTTTTTTCAGGCTGAAGGACTGAACATGGTGAACGGCCATGAGCCTCGACTAAGCGCACCACCTCCAGCTCCTGCTCCACCACCTCCTCCTCCAGGTCCAGCACCACCCCCACCGCCTCCAAGCGCAGTCCCGCTTGCACCCCCTGCCCCGCAGCGCCCGGTGAAGACTGTTCCTCAGCCTTCGAATCCCCTAAAATCTTTCAACTGGAGCAAGTTACCTGATACAAAGTTGACGGGAACTGTTTGGTCCGAATTAGATGATACCAAATTGTATAGTACCATTGGCTTAGATGCTATCGACAGACTGTTTTGTGCATATCAGAAGAATGGTGTTGCTGTAAGTTTTATCTTAAAAATTTCATTATCAATACAGTTTTTCTTTAAATCTCTGCTGTAGTTTTTACTTTTTTTTTTTTTTCAATTTTTAAAACTTTATTACTGTATTTATAAATTTGATTATGTTGATTTTGATGTTAAAATATCTTTTTTTAAGTAAATTTTATTTTTTAAAATGTAGGTTTTTAGTAAATCAAAATCTTTTTTTTTTAATTATTATTTTTTTTGACAATGATCTATTTATCTGGATAATAAAGATTAAATGAAGAAATCAGTAGAATGAAATCAGCCAATAATAAAAATAAAATTTTTCTTTTTGTTAAAACCATTTTCATTCACTGTTAACAAGAGCTATTATGCATACGCTATATATAAAACAAGTAGTTTTTATTTTATTCGATAAATTATCTGATATCATAACTGTTTAATTAAAATGATTAAATATTATATTTTTCAATTAAATTTTTATAATTCATTCTCGATATACATCCATAATAAGATTTATCTATCGAATGATAATAAGTAATTATTAAATTATAACAATAATATAGCTGGTTATTCTTATGACTTATTCAAAACTTTTCAAAGTTTCTACAAAAATTCATACATGCAAGCTTGAAAATTTGTATTACTTTTGAGAGAATAGATGTTAAACAACAATTATAAATATTATTACATTCCTTTTTTTTTTTTTTTACTTGTCCCATTTTCTCTCAAGAATGCCACATGTATTCCTGGCAATGCCTATTACTTAGCCCGCTGATCAAGGAATACCATAGGATTATTTGTATTATTAAATATTTATTTATAGTTCATTCTTTTATTTTTACTTTTAACTACTCTGTTATATTTTTTAAGCTTATTTTTATTTTTTAGAATGATGGCTCAATAGAAGATTTAAGACAATTGGGTAAAAATAAAACCAAAATCCTTTCAGTTATTGATGGAAGGCGAGCTCAAAACTGTACTATTTTACTTTCAAAATTGAAATTGTCAGATGAAGAAATCACTAAGTATGTATTTTTTTTAATGTCCAATTTTCACAGATTTTTTGTGTTTTTTTTTTAGTTCAATATTACGTATGAATTTTATTTTTGCTTCATAGAACTTATTGTTTGCTTTATGATAAATAGTAATTTGAATATCATTCTCTAATTTTGTAATTAAAACTCGGATTTACTATCAAAGTAAAAATTACTTTTACTTATTGTCAACAGAGATGGATAGGTAAGAGAAATATTGTAATTGGACCAAAATGTTTGGTTTTTTAATCCTAAAAACACATGTACAGTTATTAGTCTGTGTCACCATTTCCAAAGAAAACCATTTAATTAAAAATTTATAGAACAGAAACTTTGGCTTTTCAGCTGACATATTTCCAGAAATTGGACACGTTGGAGAGATTCCTCAACTTCTGAATGACAGCCTCATTTTAATGTTTTCTGTTTAGAGACACAAAATTGATTTCAATCCTATCAGATGGAGCAATTTCAGTAATATGTATTGAGAAACAGAGTCTTTTCCATTACATCTCTCGTCAGTGAACTTAAACTTTTTTTCTTTCTTTTTTGGACCACCAGGAGTTTTGGATTACGGGGGATTCTAGTTATCGAGACTGTCCTGTATTAGCAAAATGTTATAGACTTAGTAACTTTTTTCATACATTTCATGGAAATCCGTTACTTTCTTTAATTTTTTTTTAATAAATAAAAAACTTTAATCTCCTGGAACATTCCAGATGCTCATTTATAAGATAACTAAATTGTCTTCAGAGCTAAAATAACAATATTATTCACAAATAAAAAATTGTAATTTGTTTTTGTAATTAATAGTAACTATTTCTCTTTTCAGAGTTATTATGAGTATGGATTCAAGGGACGAAGTTCCTCCAGATATGGTCGAGCAACTTTTAAAATTCACCCCCAGCTCTGAGGAAGCAGCTCTTTTGGAAGAACATTCAGATGAGATTGATTCTCTTGCCCGAGCAGACCGGTTCCTTTACGAAATTTCAAAGTATTATATATCTTTTTTTTTTTTTTTTTGTGATAATTCACATTTTTCAATTTATTTACAACTAATATTTTGTTGCAGGATCCCTCATTATGAGCAGCGATTGAGATGTTTGCACTTTAAGAAAAGGTTTGCCGTCTGGACGGGTGAAGTCGAGCCAAGAATAAAAGCTGTGATGGAAGCATCTCGAGAAACTTCTCGATCGAGACGGTTGAGGAAAGTTCTGGAACTAGTCTTAGCCCTCGGTAACTACATGAATAGGGGAGCGAGAGGGAATGCTTCAGGATTCAGACTGGGTTCTCTTAATAGGCTTGCCGATACAAAGTCTTCTCAAGCTAAAGGCACTACACTACTGCACTACCTTGTTGAAGTTCTACAGAATAAGGTAAGTATAAAAAAATCTTCTTTGTTCCAGTAATTTGAGATAAATATTGTAGTCCAATTTTGCTGATGTTATTATTGTTTCCATTGTTGTGATTATATTTTCTGAGTGTTAAAGTATCATAGATCAGATAAAAGGTTACTACAAAATATATCACTTTGATAGAAAGATTATTCTCAAGATGCTTGTGACCTGAAACTCTTTTTTGCTTTCCTATAAAAGTTCTTTATTAACTTATGACAGTCAAATTACACAGTGATGGTTATGAAATAAATTGGTAAGAGATATGGATAAAGAAATCACGAATATCGAAAAGATGAAATTTCTGTTATATTTTTCAAAAATATATTTGCCATATTAATCTCTTTGGTCTTTTTGGAGGTTGAAGATCAACTTCAAGAGTAAATTTTTTCAGCTCCTTATTTTATTTATTGAAGTTATACTTTTTCTCGAGTGGCTTGTTATTTCCTTGTAGAAGAATATCGTTTTAATTGGTAGTTTAACTGTGCTATGCAGACATATTTTATGATTTATAGACATTTACAATAGAATTTTACTAGTTTTTAAAAAAAATAAAATGTTCTATGCTTTATTATGTTTTGGGGGGAGGGGAGGGAGAAGGGTGAGGTATTGAAATACAAAATGTGTATCTAATAACCTTGTTAAATAGTCACTAAAAGTTTTCCAGTCTCCAGATTAAAATCGCCCCATTTCCGAGAAAGTTCGTAAATAAAAAAGTTTTAGATTATGATAAAATGAAGCCATTCATGAAATTTAAAACGGATGTTAATGATTTGATAAAAAGGGGTCTATACCATGGACTGATAGATTATGGTTGCGTTTCGTCACCCTAGTGGTTAATATTAATGTAAAAACGGTTATTCTTCTTCTTCAATGGACGCTACAGTCCTTGTAGAACCTGGGCTTCTGCCACCACTCTCCTCCACTCCTCATGGTCCGCAGCAAGATTCCTCCAATTTCTGTTCCCCAGCCTCCTCAAGTCTTCTTCCAGATCATCCAACCATCAGTGTCTGGGTCTACCTCTTTGTCTTTTCCCTCCTGGAGTACCATTCAGCATCATTTTTGGAAGTCTACTGAGATCCATTCTTTCTGTCATTTCTGACATATCTTGTTGAGGTACTACCAAACCTATTCCAACCAGAGGTGAAAGATTGAGATTCAATTTAGTGGGTCCGCCACAAAATAAATCTCAACCTACCCAGGCCGGATTCAAACCGGTGCCACTAGACACGAGAATGGTAAAGTTGGGCACCCTTCGCCATCACAGCCTCATTTAAACATAATATCTGCCATAGTAATGGCTTATGGTGGCACAGATATGTTAATAGTTCAGGAAGCATTGAAAAGTAAATGAATGTTTCAAAAGGAATGCCAAAAGAAAGTATTAAACATGTTTAGTATTAAGGAAAGTAAAATTAAATGATGCTTTTATCGAATAAATCACCACTCTCATCAAGTATCTGGAAAAGTTGGCAGATCAGTAAAGGTGAAAAGACAGACCATGAAGTATGGAACGGGTGCAAAAAGGATAATGAGATGCTTTATCAGATCTCCTCACTATCGATTGGTTAAGAAAAAATAACTGAACAATTAATTGAATTAATTTTGCTACATGAGTGGTCAATAGAAGAGATTCTATATTAATAAATTGGCCCAATATTTCACATTTTTTAAAGAAAAATTGTTTGGAGAACTAGGAAGAACATATCATCTGTTAATAAAGGAAATCTTTTGATATATGTTAATATCCAGTGATGGATTGTGTATTGATTGTTGAACACATATTTTTTTTTATTGTACAAATATGTTTTTTGCCCATAACTATGATTCTGAGGATTATTTAGTATTTACAGAACCTTTATCAATCAAGACTTTATTCATATAATGTAGTCCATGGCTCATTTGTAAGTTATTGATATTCAATGCTACAAAATTTAGAAAATAATACTTTTTTATTTTTTTATTTCTTTATTGAGTATTACAACAATCTGTCTCTTGGACATTGGTTATAGTGAGGTAGGATGACATTCACACTATATGTACAAAAATAAAATAAAATAAATAGAAACAAAATAATAGTCAAAAGTATATACAATACTAAGTATTCTTTTATTACATAATTCAAAACTGATTCTATTTTCAAAATATTCTTAAATTATTCCTTTCTTTTCAGTTCAAGGATGCTCTCAAACTAGAAGAGGACATGCCTCATGTAAGAGAAGCAGCTAAAGTGAGGTAAATTAAAATTATAATCACAAATTAAATTTAGAAATTAACATTTTGATATTTAATTTGTTTCCTACCTGTGCTTTTGGTACTCACCTCTACTACAGACAACAATTTTTCTGTTATATGGTACTAATTACTCTGAGCTTTTAGCTTTATATATTTATAACATTCCAATATATTAATTTATTCAGATTTATGACATTCTTACAAGTTTTGTCATGTCTATTTTTGGTGATGGGGCTGATATCAATATTATGTTTAAGATTATAGCTTTTTCCAGTGAAATTTATAATTTTTCCAACTGATTTCATAATTTTTTCAAACAAATTCATAATTTTTTCAACCGATTTTATACACTTTAAGTTGAGAAGGTGTGGTTGTCAGGAAATCATATAACCCTCATTTATATATTGTATTTTTTTATAAACAGAGTATGCTGTTTATGCTTTGAGACCAGATTGTATTGCAGCATCCTTGATTGTTTGACAGTCCCGATATATTGTTCAACCAATCTGATGAATAAATGTTGAATAGTCCTTTGTTGTATCTATGAAGATACAACAGACGACTATTCACAGGTTTCTGCAAAGATGAACTTTCACCCCTCGTGTTTGACAACTAAGGTGTGCCGTAGGAAGGCAAACGAATAAATGAGATTGTGATGTTCTGTATAGAAAAATAAAGAAATAGGAGGAATTCTCTAATTCCCTCAATCTAATATCCTTCTAATTCCATATGAGTTCTTGATAACTATACCTCATTAAATTAAGTGTATGAAATCGGTTAAGAAAATTATGAATTTAGTTTAGAAAAATTATGAATTTTATTTGCAAAATTATGAAATAAGTTGAAAAAATTATGAATTTAAATGAAAAGAGCTATATTTAATTGATGGAAAAGGAAAGATTAATTTTTCCCAAACATCATATTTATTATTAGAGTTGGGACTTTCAAACTTTTTGGCATGGAGAACACTAACATTGTCTCTTTGATCATGACTGGTAATGTTAAAAATATTTTTGTTGTCTTTAAAAAAAGATTTTTTTTTCTTTATTTCCTATAACAGTAATATAAAAATATTTTATAATTCTTTTTCAAAAAGCAAAACAACATATTGGTTAATCAATATTTCAATACACATTTTGGTTCATTTACCAATCTTATTTTTCAAAAATAAAAATAAAATATTTTTACCATAGAGTCCTTTTATTAAAATTTGGAAAAAAAAATTGCTGGGCAGTAAAAGGGGTATTCGTTCTGCAAGCCATAGTTTTGAGACCCTTGATTTATAGGAATAGTTCTGATGTATTCAATAGCTGTGATGTATGGTTATAATACTGCAAAGAGACAAGGAGTAGTGTATTAAGTACTAAAGAATTTAAAAGAGTAGGCTTGTTTTGGTACCTTGCCGTGTAAGACTTACCTAAGGTGGGTCTGTAGCCAACAGAATAAGGTTATGACTTTTCTACAAAAAGTTATGCTTGTTCACATTTCTTTTTTCTATTGCTTTTCAGTTTGGGAGAATTGGAAAAGGATATGGCTCAGCTAAAGGCTAATTTAAGAGAAGCTGAGAGAGAACTGGAATTCCAAAGAACTCAACCAGTTATTGCTGGCGACAGATTTCTTCCAGTTATGAAGGAATTTGTTGCAGTGGCTACTTGCAGGCTCACAGAACTCGAAGATATGTTTCATGATATGAAAACAAGGGTAAATAAATTCATGTTCATAATATTTTGATTTTCAATTTTGATTGTATCAAACATTCTGATAAATAGTATATAATCGTGTCTACTTTCATGAAACTCGCTAGCTTATAATGTATTTATTGAAAGTCGTGATCATATCTGTACTGGATTATTATATCTAAGAATTGGAATAGCTATAAGAGAATTGTGTTATGTTTCACATGAATGAATTCAACTTTGATTTTCAAACTACTATATGTTTACTATTTTTTCAGTTCGATCGAGCTGTGCGGTTGTTCGGAGAAGATAATAGTTCTGTACAACCTGATGAATTTTTCGGTGTTTTTGATACATTCTTAATTGCTTTTGGCGAAGCTAAAGCTGACAACGAAAACAACAGGAAAAGAAGAGAAGAAGAAGAAAAAAGAGCTCGGCAAGAAGCAGAGGTAACTTAGTAATATTTTGATCTCTTGTGTTTTATGTTTGAAATATTTTAATGTGTATAACTTTTTTGGAATTTTTCTTATTAGTTTCTAGTTATAAGTGCTCATGAATTGACATCTTAAATAATTAAAACTGAACAAAGTATAAACATATGAATATGATTAATCATATATTATTTCTGAACTGTAGTGGTATAGTATTTATTACTATTCCTGATATTTTATTTAATATAAATTTTATGAACTCCAATGTCCTTTTCCTTTGTATCATATTCTAATTAATTTTGTTTTCCAATAAGAAAAGGTTCTAACACTAATTAAAAAAAAAAATGAAACAAATTTCAGCTCTCTTCGAAGTTTTGACTGACAATTTAAAAGGAAAAATTTAATAATAAAAATGATATATTACATTGTTAAGTATTCAGAATATCGTATTGTAATATTTCATAAACAGTTAATATAAATTTGTCTTCCTTATTCATTTTATCATCTTAAGATTTATTAATAAAATTAAAGTTATTAATGTAATATTTATAAATAAAAAATAGAAGATATTTATTTTTCACTGCCAAAATTGTAATTTACACAACGATGTACAATTTATCATAAAATTTAATATTGTCACCATCATTATTTGCATTTTATGATAGCAGTCAACTTCTTAGGCTGCTTACTCGACTTGTTTAAGAAATGATGAATCTCCAAACGACATCCTTCTACCAGCAATGCAATGGTTCAGAACTGTTAATTTCTGTTTTATTATTTTATTGTAAACAATGTTTAAACATCTTCAGGAAACTCAATGATTATATTGATGCATTAGTGGTGCAAATAAAGTGGGAAACAAGATGTGTTAATATCTTCCTCATCCTTTTTTTACTGCAATGGTAAATCTTTAAATGTAATGTCTAATAGATCAAATCAAAGGAATTTCCATGTGCCATAATTTACTTATATTGTTTATCTAATTATTTGACCACAAATATAATGGTTGGTTGGTTAGTCAATTATTTTTTTCGGTTAATCAATAGGTGAAGTCTTGGGCTTAACGTGTCTCATCTTAACCTCACCAGGACATGACAATTCTAAGATTAAAATAATGGACTGTTAATTCCTCATAGTATTTTAGTTATTGGTTTATTTAATTCTTGATTATCCCATCTCAAGATCATTTTATTCTTAGATTGACCAGATAGACTATAAATTTTGAAATTTTAATGTAAAGTTTAAATTAAAATTTAAAAAAATTACCCTGGTATATACCATTTTATTTTTAACCCCACCTAGCCATTTCTGGTATATGGGCAGGCTGCCTCTTTTTCTTCAATTTTGAATCAGGTACATAGGATTTTCACTAATAACACCTGTGTAATAACAAAACCTGCTAATATTTTATAAGTAAATTTTCAGAATTCCCAGTGTTTGATTGACTGATCTTATTACCCAATACCTGAAGAAATTCAGTTCTCGGTAAAATCTGTTAACCAGCTCATCAATAATTAAAAGTGATCTGTGTGTCGATTATTATAGAAAGTATACAAAAAAAAAATTATAGTTTTTCATATTAACAATTAAATAACTAAAAGGGATGTATAAAATAAATTTAGTTTATCGCAGAAGTGTATCGAAATAAACCTGGACATATGTAAATATGAATATAGATCTTTAAGAGTAGTAAACTGGAGGAGTGCTCCCTCTGAAATATATGTATTAAATTTGCTACAAAGGTGTCAGGCTTTTAATAATTATATTTTATTGATAAATTTTTATAACTTAGGTTCATTTTAAATTCATTCTAGATTAAGTAAAATTTAGGAAAGGTATAATAATTAAGTTTATTACTTTGTCATCTTTGCTCTAATGTCATTAGATTTTATTTCATCTTAGCAGATTTTTTAAAAAATATTACAAAACATTTCTCTGTTAAAATTATAACTGTATCACTTGGTTAAAAGAAATCCATTGCCTGTATATTAATCCATTGAGTAATATTAATGATGAACTATTGTTTTCAATTTAGTGGATTGCATTGCTTCTTGTTCCATCATCAATGTTTTGTTTCAAAGAGGTTAATCAAAGTAAAATATCTCTTTTTTGGGTTTCTCTCAGAATTATGATAATAAATAAACGAGTCTTTAAAACAATAAAAATCAATTGTTTGCCAAAATCATATTGTTTTTAATTTCTGGTATTTTGACAAGGAAAACTGCTCATATTGATGTATGACTTCATTACTTTCCCTTTGTTTAGGAACACAAATTGATAATTTTATGATTTTCTAATTAGATCAACTAATTTATTATAAAAATTGTGAAAAAAGTATTAATATGAACTTGTACAATTAAATAAATTGTTGACTGCCATGAATCATTATTGGGGAAAACAATAAAAAAAAATGTTAATAATTAAAATCATAGCCAAACTCTTTTTGTTTCTTTACTGTATTTAATTTTCTTCTACTAACTATATCACATTTATATAGAATATATATATTTATAGTTTTCAAATTTATAGGGTTTAGTATAATTAATTTTTTTATTTTAAAAAGAAAATATTTTGTATTTCAGCATAAATAAAACATATTTTTTCATAAATCACCAAATTTCAATTGTCTTGATAGATGCGGATGTTGATACGATGTAGGAGAAAGATCTCTTCAGCTCCAAAGGGTGCAAACTCGGACGACAAGTCACGTATCGACAGATGGGATGTGAATTTCAGTTTTATCATCTTTTAAAAAAATGATGGCATAGTTTGCTTAGGGTGGTGTATGGGTGCAAAGTTCAATTGCCAAACTAGTTTTAATGGCACCTGAAAAAAAAAAATTAAAAATGCAATTATTACAATTGATGATATGCGTTACTGAAATAGCAGTACTTTTGATTTGCCGGCTTTAAAATTCGACTGAAACAGTTTATTATTTATAAATTATTCTTTGTTGTATATTTTTTATTGTTATTATTTTTTCTTTTATTTTGGGCTTCATAGGAGATTTTTTTTTTTTTTTTTTATTGCCTCCAATTTATTTTACTTTAAATATATTATTCCTATTGAAATTATCTGAACCCTCAGCTCTCCATCTTATATCAATACCATCACTAATAGTTTTTTGTACCTTACATTAACAAAATATGAAATAATATAAAATAACATATTAATAATTTGAAATATGATGCTCCATGGATTTTAAGTTATTTTTCGATTATAAAGGTTTTCAATTAGGACTTTATAAAAATCTGTAAACTATAAGAACATGTTATATCTTCCATTTAAAGCGTGATTTTATTTTGTAAAATAGTCTAAGGTTTGGAAAGATAATTTATCTATTCCAGTTGACATTAAAGAAATTAAACTTTTTGACCATCACTATTTCATCAAGCTTCAAAAATAGATAATCATAATGTTTTATTTAAAAATTTTCTAGTTAGTTCATGTATTCATAAATTGTTATTGCATTAACTTTTATTTGGGTAATGACTTACCCAAAGTGGTCAATGTATATGATACCAGTAAATATCTTGCACATGTAGTCTGACTGTTTTCGTTAACTCTATTCATTGTTGCATACTGACAAAGATTAATGCTGCATTGAGGTTCAATTTTTCTCCAGTAAATATGGCTAATCTTATTGAATATTCTGTTAAGATAATAGTATACATCATATAAATAATAAACTGTTTCTTTTGTAATTTTAGAAATAAAAAATCATCTGGGTTGTTCAAGCACACAAAATGTATGATAAACTGAAGCACTGCATTGCTTGTTATATTCTACATGTATTGGCATAAAATGACATAAATGTTTTTGCACCATGTTATTGTGTACATTAACTGATCAGTTTTGATCAGTGGGAGAAAGCATATTGGTTGGTGGTGGTATCGCTTTTTTTCTCACATCCTGCTGTGTCCTAACCATGTATTTGTAATTTTAATTATTTTATAGAATTTTTTTTTATCATTTGTCCTTTTATGTTTATCACTTTCAAACTCATGTGTACTTAGTTTCTCAGTCATTCCAGAAATAATGGCAATTTTTTAAATAAAATTATTTTATATGTTGAAATATTCATAAATCAAAATTCTAAAACACAAAAATCTGTTTTATGATTACATTTCTGTATCCAAAAATATGCAAAGAAATATTTTATGAAATCTGAAAACCTTTGTTGTCTTTTAATATTATCATTTAATATTTACTAATTACTGTCACAGATTTTTTCATAATTTCTTTCTTTTTGTTTTATTTTTTCAAAACAATGAAACTAGTCAGCATTAAAATGTCTAACTGATCAAATTTCTGCTACAATTTTCACTCCTATATTAATTATTTTGTGCTTTGGGTCATTATTTTGTTTAAATGTGATGTTTTTGTTGATGTACTTATTCCATTTTCTTAACCTTATCATCATTAAATTTTCTTTAATTTTAATATGATCTCTTGGGGTTATGCATCCTTTAATTTTATGGAGCATACAGAATCCCTCCTCATTAATTGCTCGTAGCAAGATTTCCAGTGTTTACATTTACATCAGATCCATAATGTCCATACTTTGTGGCGCTGCTTTTTATGTCTAGCACTTAACTTTTGTTTTTCAAACTTAACATTCCCATGAATACCGACTTTTTTCATGTCCTGCTACTGTTTCAGCTTAAACCAATTTCAAGGAACAAATAAATTTCTTGTTCATGAAGATAAAAAGTTTAGACCTAGGTCTGTTTTAAATTAAGAATTTGTCGAACCATCTTTGTGATTTTATAGATGGTTATCAGAATGGACTTATTTCTACGAAAACATCTAGCTTATCTAAAAAGAAATCATTACTGGTATTTGTTCTAATGATAGGCTCCTTAGGTCTTTTGCATCTTCGTCTACAGAAAAGTCCTATTTCCTGATCAGTGATTCTCAATCAACTACTTATATGTCTAATCTCTCTATGGTTTGAGAGGCTGTTGAAAATCAAAGTTACATGAATTAATATTAATTTTTGTAAAATTAAATATAAATTAGATAATACATATAATTCTAGTTTTAAGCTGAAAAGAAGTTGGTCTCTAAAGGAGATCTAAATTTCTTTCCAACAAAAAACTGTATGATGTATAGAGGTGATTAAAAAGATAGGAAAAAATATATCTTTAGACTATTATTTTTATTACTGTTACATTAATGCATATCCTTTTATTACTTATATTCTTTGACTTTTAATATAATTTATTCTTCGATAGAGTATTATACTTTTCTGAAGCCATTAAGTATTTTAATGATTTTCTCCTCTAATTTACTGATTAATAGATTATTATTAAATGGAGATTCATTTAGCTTTTATTAATTATTAAGAATTGTAAATGCCTGCAGTGAAAAAAAGAATAACAATTGAGTTTCAGTAAATATTAAATTCTTTCATATAAACTGAAATTTTGAGCTGCTAATAATCGCAATGACTCTAAATATTATTTAATTTACAATGTTAAAAGTTTAATTTATTAATAGCTGGGTGCAGGTAACTCAAAGCAATTGTTCTAATGTGTTAAAAATCGCTTTAACAGTCATTTATTTAAATTCAATTTAATTGTATTCGTAAATATATGCTGTTTATTTGCATCTATTTTATATATCAACATAAATTGTTTGATTAATGTAAAACAGTTTTATACCTCCTTAGTGATTAGATATATGCTCTGAATGGTTGGCAAAAATTATCTATATTGTTAAAAAATAATATTTTTACAGTAATAAATGTATTTGTAATAATTATATCCATTTTATATAAATTTATTATTAGTTTTTGAAAAAGTTAACACCACTAATTACAAAAAAAACAACTAACAGAATGGCGATTACTATTTTCCTTTCATGTAAATGTGATTAATTTTAATTATGTTATTTTTTTTAAGTGGATTGAGTGCATGTTTAATGTTTTATGTTATGCTATACCATAAATAAATTTACCTAATTTTTTTTTTAGATGAAGAAACGAACAATGGAAAGGAAGAACTCTCGCACCATTGAAAAGAATGGAATAGTAGGTAGCCCAGGGTTGAAGAATGGACTCCAGAACGGAGGTGGAGCGAAGGGTGAATTTGACGATCTCATCTCGGCACTAAGAACAGGGGATGTATTCGGGGAAGACAAAATCAAACGGGGTAGGAGATCAAGACTGAATGCCTCACCACCGAGGCGTAATAGCCTCAACAGGGAGGACTCTAGGGAGAGGGTTATCCAAAGGATACAATAGAGGCATGGGCTCGATATCTAGCCACAATCTGGGTTATTGCTCGTTTATATGTCCTGTATACATTTTGTGTATTCCTCTAATAATTGTAAATTATGTATTAACAAAGCTTGTTAATAGTATGTTGGAATATTATTTGATTACCTTTATGTTGCCATAAAGTTTAGTAAAGTTATCGTTAATGACTGTTTTAAGCTTTATTTTGAATATATAATTTCAATCTATATTTAGATTTGGCATCAGATTTATAACTTATGACAAATATCTTAATGATGTGAGTTGTGCTTTTTAAAAAGATTATTTTATTTTATCATTCATATTTGCAATTATTTAAAAACATCTCGGATACAAAAATTAAATGCTCACTAAGACAAATGTCAAGTACCTGATTTTTACTCTTCAGTTAATCACAATCCCTTAGTAAAATATTAACAATAGTATCTTAAAAAAACAACACAACTATATACATATATCTTCTGTATAGGTAAGAGTAAATTTATAGCTGAGAAAAAATAAAGAAAATTCAGTTTATTTTCCTTGAAAATTATCAAATTAGCATTAAAAAATTAATATGATATTAATTAAATAGTTTTTAACTGATGCCATTAATAAATTATATATGGATTTGTTCTGTAACTTTATTGGAACTATCAGTGTTTATAAATATTAGAAATTTTGTGTCCTAGTTTTCAAAAGATTCACTTACTCATATCAAAGGCAAATCATTCCAATTTATAAATTGTATTTGATTGTATTAATATATTTTTTTATTGTTTCTTAGTGAAATAAATCTTTATCTGGTGTAAATATTTGATGATTTAAAAACAATCAATTGCTAGTCTGTGCCAGATCATACACCATTATGTATTCATCATGATAATCATAGTATTTTGATATAAATTAATTTTGATATTTATATTTTTTTTTAAACTATGTTTTGTTCTAGGATTCAAAATTTCTTCTGGTCTATGAAATAATGTTTTTTTTTATTAAAAGAAAATATGTTATTCATTTTTTGTATATTTTGTATCATTACCTTATTACCAAAGAATGTGCTATGTTGTTACTGATTTTCTTTATTGGGTCAGTATATTGTGATTATAATTTAAAATTGAGAAAAAAAAAAATTCTCTGACTCGAGAGGGAGAAGAGGAAAGGGGTTCCAATTTTTGTACCGTTTAGAAAACTTGCACAACATGTTAAACCATTCACACAACTGCCATTTTAAATTGTTGCTGCATTTAATGTTGACTTTGAAGTTATGTAGTCCAATGTTTAGCATCTTTTTGAATGTTGATAATTTTTATCAGATTATACTACAGTTAGATTTTATATGAGTGAATTATATATTTACAATACAATGCAGTACTAATGTCATTTTAATTTTAGTTTTTATTGGAAACTTATTTATGTCCTATATTCCTCTAAATATAACTGTTATTTAAATTTTAATATATTATTTATTGTCATTTTAGTTTAAACAGTTGTATTGTTTTATTAAAATTATATTGCAATTTCAGTTACTGAAATGATGCTTCTTTACCACCATTTTTATAATTGTTTGGTTGTCATTTGTTAGGTCATAATATTATTAATTAAAAATAAAATAACCGTAAATATGTTACAGTAAAGCAATTTATTAATTTACAGTGGATTGTTTATATTTTGAACAGGTAAGCTATATAATCTTAATAAACTCCTTAAAATAATATAAATAATTTTATAGTGGATCAAAATTGACCAAGTGTGTGACTTTGAAATAAATTTAGAAATAAGTTTCAAAATTAGTTGTAATGTGATTCGATGTAATGTTTATCCGTAGTATCACAACTTCTTTTATTTCTGACACTAAGTTATGTATTTTTACTGAGAGCGAAAATTGCAATGATTAAATAAATATATCATGATTACCTTTTATCGACAGAAATTTCTATAAAATTGATTTTAATAATTTCTTATCTTCTAGTCTGAAAATTAGTGGATTTTTTCTTCTTTTCTTTTTCTCTCAGGAAGTAAAATATAATTAAATAAATGTAATTTAATATATGAGATGTAGATTTGTTGTTTGATATTGTTGACTGAATGTGCCCAACTGCTTTATTTATCAGTTTTTTCTTTATTTTTTTAAAATAAATCGAATTTATGTTGCAGACTTTTGAAATCATTATATTTTCATGATATAATATTTAAATGTAAATAAGTTTGTTACATTTCATATTTTTAAAAGAATAATTTATAAAATTATATGCCTAATGTTAAACGCTGAGACTAAGATGGTTTATTTTAGTGTATTCCTGGAATGTTTTGTTATAAAATTATATATGATGGCATTATTTGGCATTTTAAAGAATAATAAAAAAAAAAGTGCTTTCTTAATGTTCCTTCGAAAAAGTTATGTTTAGAATTTTTTGAATTTTTGGAAAAATTCATGTATGACAGCATTTATATACCTTGTTGAAAGTATAACTATTTTAGAATTGAGAATGATTGATGGTAAGAAAACTCTGTGCTATATAGACTACTAATAATTAGTAAGTATTCTTATTAACATTTTTTATGCGATTGAAATGATGGTTGATCATTTTTGACTGAGATAAATGTTAAAACTTTTTACATTTTTTACATCAAAACCCCTATCACTATCAATTCAATTATGTGTATTTTATTATTTTTATTTTGTATTTTTGTACATATCCTGTTTTGTAGTGAAATATGTAATTGTTATAGATTAGTAAAAAATATATACCTGTACATGAAATAAAATAAATGTATGTTTTCATTTATTATTTTTTCATGTTTTATTACCCACTTTGATATAGAATCTATAAATATTTTCAGAAAAAATTATATAAAATATATATGTATGTAATATTTTTCTTGCTATTTTTTAAAATTAATTTGTTTGCTAAAGGATTAGAGTTTGTCAATGAAACATTACAATTAATTTATATCCAATTTTTTTAATGCATCATTTTAAAAAGCAGAAAAAAAGCTTACAGGTTGACTAAACAAACCCAATTTTTTTTTCAATATTATCAATAAAAATAATTGTACACTAATGGATTTCTTAGGTGAAGGATATACTAGGTAAAAAAAGAAATTGGATGGTAGTATTCAGTATTTTATTAATCGCTCTAAGATGGGACTAAGGTTTAATTTAAAATTATAAAATTTTAATAAGTTTGATTTTGATTATAACTACTTCCTAATCAGTTTTAAATTATTTATGATTTAAGATAATTTTACATATTCTAGAACTTATAGTTAGGAGACAGCTTCTACATCATAGCAGGAACGATAAATTTCTGTATTAACATCTATTCAATAAAAAGATTGCATGCATATAAGCAAGTGCAGATATATGTGTCCATAATTATATTAACAACTTCATACCCATGAAAAGAAGTTCACTACACGAAATATGGTTTACAGTTGAATCCCTATTAACAAGCCACGCAATAACTGTCTTTGAGATTAACTGGTTTAGTGATAAAAAAAATAGACATCAGTTACATTCTATTGTAGGATAATTCTTCCAATATCTATCAGTTGCGATTTTACCTTCACTCCAGGCTTCTTCGTATTTATTAATCATAAATAAATTTTTTAATCCATATTCACTTCCTTTTAACATACCAAGACATGAATTTTTAACAACTACGTCGTCCCATTTATTTTATGTCTAACACTTACGTTTTTTAGCTCTTAATATTCCATTAAATTTCCTTATTAATTCATTTTTCATTTATTTGCTAATTTCGTTATGTTATTACCGTTATTTTATAATTGTTTATTTCATAAGTTCCTAACACTGTTACCATTATTATTTATTTCATATGTTGAAGTCAATAGGGAGGGGGGGGGGGTATTTTCTTCCATTAATTCAACAATTTAGTTTTAAGATAACTTTACTATCATTATATATTTATTTATGAAATGTGGATCGACATGAACCCTTAAAATTTTGATAGAATTTAAATCTGGATCCTGAAGGGGAGTTCCATGTTCATTTGAATAATTATAGAACAGCCATTCCAGTTTGTGGAGAACATTATCTGACAAATATTTTGTAGGATAGTTTTATTTTCAACAAATGCGTGTATGAAAACTTATGCTGGTCACTTTAGTAATACTCCTCCTCAATTCAATAATTATCCTGATAGACCGACTCCCCCTAAAATACTATTTCTGGAGGAGTTATGTACTAAATAGTTATCACTAGAGACCGGATCTTTGTGCAGTAAAAATCCGAAAAACGTGAAGAAAAAAACTCTAAATGTGCTTAATCGTGAAGTAAAAAAAAACAAAATATGTAAAATTGCCTAATTTACACCTGAAAACATGCAAACATCATCTATTTTGTATCAAAATCCTATTAAATCTTATGTTAAGCTCTTGATTTAAAATGTTGCGTCAAAAAAAAAAAATTAAAATGCAGCATGTAAAATAAACAAGAAATTACAATTAACCTAAATCTTGAAGTATTAATATAAGTAATAAAAAATTTAAAGACAATTCACAAAAAAAAAAAAAAAAAATACAAAAAGGTCTCAACCATTAACCGATAAATCATTATATATATATATTTTTAAATATGCCTTAAATTAGTTAATTGATTTGCTCATTCAAGGAATGAAATAATTTAGAAGAACAAAAAAAAAAAAAAAAATTAAAGGTATGAAGGATAATTATATATTATATATACCAGACCAAATGATTTTAGATGTTTATTTTTCTTACAAATAATATAAGGAGTTAGTTGGGGAAGGAGAATGCAGTCAAATAAATATTATTTTTTTACAATAGTATTTTAATCGCCATGCCGACGTTTCAACCCACTTTGTAGGTCTTCATCAGGGCTACAAAAGATACAAAATATAAGAGTACATGGTAAAAATAAAATAAATGAATTATAATTAGGTATTAAATAACAGTCTAATAAAGAATTGTCAGCTAAAGAAATAATAAGGTTACATGAAAAAATAAAACATTCCTATAGTTAACGCAGCCATTATGTTTTTTTATGAGAGACAAAAAACTTGTATTTTTCTCTATTAAAGAGTAAAATTTTTGAGATATAATTTTTCCTATTTCACTTTTGATTTTTTGAAGGTTTTCATCTACAGTATCTATAGTTTCAATTTGTTTATTAAGTGACAAATATTGAGATTCTAGCTGAGTTAATATTTGCGGAAAATTAGACAAATGTGATGTTATGAATGTAAAATCAAATATTATTGACGCCGAATTCATGATATTCTATCAATCACTTCAAAGCCAGAAGAAATACTGAGAAAATAGTGAGAATTCAAGTCAGAACAAGGAAGGTAGTTTTTCTTTATTGAATTACTTCAAGCAAGTTCAATTCCAAAAACAGTTTGTCTGCACTTGTGTTTACATCGTCCTTTTGTAACGTTGAATTCGAATATTGGCGTCACAGAATCATTTAATTTTCTTATATTTTTATTTCTTTAATTATAAATTTAACATGGACAAGAAATTAAAATAAAAAAGTAAATGTTTGTACACACGTATATATTTATAAATCATTTAATTTAGCAAAAAATGTACAAAAACGTGCAATTTAATGTAACAAAAATAAAAATCGTGCAATTTAAGCCAAAAAACAGAAAAACGTGCAATATAAAATTTAAATATGTTATTCTTCAGATATTCAATAGATGTTCGGATCCAGGGTTTTTTACACGCAAGCGAATACAATGTGCAATAACATGAATATCCGCTCTCTTGTTATCACAAAATTGTATTCCATAAAATAGCTTAACATTCCAAATAAAAATAATTTAACTGTAAGAATCAATCATGCATTTCACATGATGAAATCTATGAGACACATGTTTTATAGTTTTACACAATAGCGGTTTGATTTTAAAACTTAATTAGTTAGCTCTAGCGATAGATGGTGTAATGGAGTTTGCGAATATCGATTTTAAAACCGCTGACGAAATAAAAAATTACGCCAATGAATTGCATTTTAGAATTAATCAGCTGCTGAATCAAGCCGAAATACCCGAAAAATTATGTTATGACACGAAATTCAAATTGCGAGGGATTGTCGGTAATTATCAAATAATCATCATACATAACTTACATTAAGTTAGGGAGAAATCTTTAAATACTTACCTTGCTTAACAACTTTGTTTTCAATATGTATTTCACGTTGAATTAATTTTTCTATGAAACTATAGCAATGTCAATGAAGATTACGTTTCCTCAATCACAGCTCATGTCATTGGCTTATTGCATAAAGTCACTAAGTGCATTTTTTATACAGGTTAACTATCAAATATATTTTTGTGAATTTTGAGCTTATTTATCGATATAATAAGCGCGAGCTAAAAATATTATGCATGTTATGAACTATGTGAAGCTAAATTGTTGTACTTCAGTAGACTGAAATTATTGCAGAATTTAAAACTAGCAACAAGCATCCCCTGAAAAATCGTAAAATTTTGATCATGAGTTTTAGACCAAATGAGCTACAGTAGCCAACAAAAACTTTCATATATGTACTGATAGGAAATAAAAACAATTCTTTCCTATATTACAATTACAATTCTTTTTTTTTTTTTTTTTTTTTTTTTTTTTTTTTTTTTTTTTTTTTTTTTTTTTTTTTTTTTTTTTTTAATAGGAGCTTTCTTCTCCCTTTCAAAGGTATTGAAACACCGAAAAATCTCTCGAAATCTCAAATTAATGGTCTATAATGCTATGATAAAGCCAGTTATAAATATATGGCTGTGATACCTGGTCACTAACCAGCACTCAAGAAAAAGTGTTGAAAGATTTGAGAGGAATATCCTCCGCACGATAAACGTAGCGATCAGAGATAAGGATACTAACACATTGAGAAGAAATGCCAATAAAGAACTGCTTACAGAAACTGGTCAATCAATATCCCATGATAAGAAGGCAAGGAGGTAAAGATGGGCAGCGCATGTAGCTCGTAGCAATCCACCTGGAAGCCTCTACTTAGCAATGAATGCCTCAATGAAAGGCAAAATACCACGTGGAAGGCCAAAAAGCAGATGGATATAATCAACAAAAATGCAATAGAGCTGCATTCAGATAAATGGAAAGAAATAGTCCAAAACAGGGAGAGATAGAGCAGGCTTGTTAAGGCGCCAAAAGATCTACATAGTCTAATTCATCCCAAAAAAGATTTTTTTAATTTAAATTCATAATTATAACTTCAATAATACTAATTAATTTTGTCAAAAATATTTGCCTAATAATAAATATATGTATTTTTATTACAAATTGAAGTATAAAATAAGAGTTTTATTGCGGCAAAAGTTTTCTTACATTGCCAAATGAATTGCTACAGTAATTTATTTAATTATTTTATTCAAAATTTTTAAATTAATATTCTAAATGTCGTCTTTTTGAGTATCAATTAGGCATTGATTGGACCAACTTTGAATTAAATTAGGAGGTTTTTTCCCCCCATTCTTCAAACAATCTAGATTTAGGATATTTTACCGACGCTATATTTTGATTTTCTGGCTGTGAATCGACATAAGTTCATAAATGTTCGATGGGATCCAAATCTGGACTTTCGAGAACAGTTTCATGTTCATTTGGATATTTATATATCAGCCATTCTCGTGTGTGGAGAGCTTGGGGCTAGTAGTATTGGGGTTTGTATCCTACAAAAGTAGGATGAGTATTTATATTTCTCCATCACTGAAATTATACAGAATCTAAAACTTCAAAAGCATCTCTTGAAAAATCGTTAATTTTTAATGATGAATTTGTTTTTGGAATTCTCCAATTACGTAT